GTGTGTGTGTGTGTGTGTGTGTGTGTGTGTGTGTGTGTGTGTGTGTGTGTGTGTGTGTGTGTGTGTGTGTGTGCGTGCGCCATTCACGTACACACCAGCAACTAGGGGATGGGCGTGTTCCCCCTCCACCAATCAGCGTTGAATACGGGGTACCTGTCTTGGCCGGCAAGCATCGTTCTTACTAATTGGATTGTCTTGTTTATCAGCTGATGCCGTCAACGTGGTAGTTGTGGATTTTGCGTATTAACTAATCTGTGTTAACGTTCACTTGTTCTTGCAGACCATGTGTACCTCTTGACACCCTACGACTTTGAAGACGATGTAGACTTCGAGGCGGCCACGTGAGTGCCGGGTACTCACCAATCACAGTCTAATCCAAATAGCCTATTTTTTGTGACTTCGTGGTCAGTGTACCGACAGAGCGTCAGCGAGATACTTGCCACCAATTAAAACCAGGCTAAAATTTAGTGCGGCCTAAAGTCAGTCCATTTATCAGTTGGTAAATCTCTACGAAAATTGCATAACCACTTCTTACAGCTGTGATTGGCTGATGCGCGGTGGCAGCCTTGAGATGTCATTGGCACATGGCCGACAGGCGGTGTTTGAATACAGGCGTCAAGATAGAACGCCTATCACCAGTGCTGAACATGTTCGCAGCTTAAAAGTCCCTAATAACCGTCATTTCAGCCGGTTCACTCGTCCCCTATCATAACCTCGTTCTCGTGACCCTCAATGCTTTGAGGTCGAACGTGATTGGTCAGTGTGGTGTCCTGTTGGCAAATCGAGTGTTTTTGTCGCGTATTAAATCTGCCGAACTGTACTCTAACAACGCGTCACCTTTGAGACGGGTCGTTTTACACGTTCCTCGGATGTCCGTCGTTGAATGTTAGTCTGTAGGTCGTTCCTGGAACATTATTACCTGTCAGAAGCAGAAGTACACTCAGAGCAGGGCTGCGTTCGTAGCAGTAAACACACGAATCGGTTTTCGTCCATTGATTGACCGGAGTCAAGTGTGTTGAAATCTTGACTTTTTACTTCGTTAGAGCTGGTAACATCTGTCTTGTAACACATCCACATACACTAATCAAATTGAAATATGCGTGATATGTTACATGGCGACGTTTTTTTGCTAGTCAAATGGTGATGGAATTTTACTCACTACCTCCCTGAACTTCTTGGCATTTATCGATTCGTGAACCTGTCCTGCTAACCAATCAGTAAATTTGACAAATCGGAGGGGTTTGCCATGCACGCAATGCAATTGGTTGCGATGTGAGCAATAGCCAAAACTGCTCTCCATCCTCTTTAACTTATATTGGCTAAGATGAGCGTGTTTGGCGTTATTTCACATGAGTGTGCGTGATTGCAATGTGTGTTATTTTTACCTTGACGCCTGTATTCAGTGCTGAAATTGTCATTTATCGAATCGTGGACCTGTCCCGCTGACCAATCACTGAATTCGGCAAATTGGTTGGGTTTCGACTTGCGCGCAATGCAATTGGTTGTGGTGCGAGCAATAGCCAAAACTACTCTCCCTCCCCTTTAACCAATATCAGCTAAGATGAGCATGTCATTTTTTTTAACGCACAGCATTCATGGTAAGCTGGGAAGTGTTAACTGCGTGCCAACACACCATCTCACAAGTCTACCTCGTTGCTAACACCCCCCCAAATAACCGCCAGGCTGCCTGCTTTGCCCCTGTCAAGCGTAAGACCTTCTCTCTCCCTTCTAGAGGAGAATTCGCCGGGTCACTTTGGCACGATCGATGAAGAGGAGCAGCTCGTCCAAATGGCCGTGCAGAGGTCACTCGTGGAGTACGGTGGCGCCGACCACCTGATCCAACGCCAGTACTCTCTCGTAAGTCGTCAACAGTTGTGCCTTACTCTAATTCCTCCCCCTTCATGCTTCAAATCAGGCGTTTTTTTCCCTTTTTCCAGGCCAAACGCGGCGTTGTGGAGGCCCGTCCTGGTGAATATGTGGATCCCGAGGAGGCCATGATGCAAGAGTAAATCACTTGAAATGCTACTGAAACAATATAAGTAGAGATGATATTTTACACCATCTTGTTTAGGGCAATCGCCGAGAGTTTTCAGCAGGAGAGCGGGCTGAACGACCTTGAGAAGCAGTATCTGCAAGCGCTCGAATTGTCAAGAGCGGAGGTGGAACAGGAGGAGGAGAGGAGAAAACGCGAGGACGAGGAACTCGAACGCGTCCTCAAACTCTCCCTAGTCGAGAACTAACCCCGCCCTTCACCCTTTTCTTTTCGCTAAAGACGCGGAGTGGCCTCGATGGTTGCTGCCTCGCTACTACTTCGACTGTTTTCTTGATTAGTACTTACTTTGTGTCGTCTTTTATTCGCGCATTTTCTCTCTTCGACGCCATCGCTATCATTCACTTTCTTTTTTTTGCATTTAACTTCCTCTAGACGCATCTAAACACAGTCGATTTGTGCATGACGACCGCGGCTTGCCTTCCTGTCGGTGCGGAGGGGTCAACTTTGTGTTCTTAGTGTGAATTGAACGTCCAGTACCTTGATTTCGCAAAATTTACGGTTAAAAACCCGCAGTGTGATGGTAACTCGCGTTCAAGTCCAATCCTGGCTCCCGATTGGGCGGTTTCGGACGTTTATTTCCACCTTTGGAGAGGCTGCGCCTTGCAATTAGAGCGTAGTTATTACTTGAGTATTTTTCGGTCAGTGACCTTGAATCAGCCTTGACAACCAATAAGATTCGACGCCCAAGGTGGGAGTTAGCCAATGGGAGGAGAACGCTACATGGCCCAGTTTGCTCAATTAGGGTGTAATTGTTGCTTTTAGCATTTTGCCGTCTGGTAGAACGACTCGCGTGGGTTTGGTGTGGTCAGTGACTTGAGGCAGCCTTGACAGCCAATAAGATTGGACACCCCAGGTGGAAGTGAGCCAATAGGAGGAGAGCACGGGTAGTACGAACTTTGTGATGTGGTGTGCGTTATACAGTCTGCTTTGCTCAAAACATCGAGTTTCAGGGACTAGTGACTAACCCCAAAAGTCTTAGCTAGGAATACACACGAGGTAGGAAGATTTGCAGTCAAGAAATCGTGTAACACTCTCTAGATGAAGCCGCCCAAATCGGTTGGATGAATTCGACGAATCGACCACTATTAATTTACCAAGACAGGCACAAGCGTCTCAAAGTGCGAAGAAGTCTGCAGTATAATGATAAAAAGATGAAAACCAAAGCAGTCTTGAGGGAAGGGGGAAGAGAGGGGGTCTAGGTCAACGCGAGTATTTCTTCTCCACATCCGATTCCACCGCCTCGAAATCATACACCACGTTCCAGTCTGGCAGAACCTTGTTTTCAAGGTACGTGGCGCGGGACAATGACCTCAGAGGAAGGCTTTCCAGGGCTCCGAATATGGCACCTGGAATGGGAGAAACAGGTGAGACACATCACGACGCGTTGAAGGCATTTTAAACGACCCCTATCCCCACCAATGTGCACTCTGCTTTACCCAACGGGCTTCAGCACCAATAAAGGCCATCCGATGCCGTCTGTAGGGTGAATCGTGTCCCTAACGATCACGCGAAATCATCCGTTCATACACCCCTCGGCTACTAACTTCACCCATTTGACCATGCAGCCGTTTGTACAGTTACATGTTCACCGGACTACACTGATCAACAATCCCTGTTATTCTGGCACACATAAACAACAGCATCACAACCAGGTTGAGCCACGGTTGTCACCACCACCTCTGTTCTTCCTGATTTTCGCTGATCGAGTCAACACAACGCTGCGACCCCGGTGTGTGTGTTTGGCGGTGAGGCGATGGAGTGCACCTACTCACCTCCAAGCCAAGCCGTGTAGTTTGCCTTCGCAGGTGGATCGTGGAACAGGATGGCGTCTTTGAGTGCGGCCAGGCAAGCGTAGCGCGGCAACTCAAGAGCCGCCTTGAGCTCCTCATTGAGGCGTTCCTTGAAGCCCGGCAACATCGTCGTGCCTCCAATACACACGATGTTCGCCAACAACTCCCTACAGTGTCGTAGAAACAAAAAACTGTCTACTAATAGAGAGAGCAATGAGTGGAGTTACAGAACAAAGATTTCTGACCAACAAGGCTTCAAAACTAGTTACTGCACACACACACACACGCAACAGTCCCCGGATAGCTAGATCTCACTGGAAACACGACTCTTGAGTAACGCACCTCCTACAGTCAATAGGACACATGAGGAGGCATTCAAGAACGAGAGACTGGATGGTGACATTGTCAGCGTCCTGTCCGTGGAAAAGGCCTTCGACGGCAGTCTCGCGGAGACGAGAAGGAATGTGCATGAGGCGTCCGTCGGAGCCGCCCAGGGAGCAGGAGAAGGTCTCGGTGGCGAAGTGCGGCGTGGGGATGTGGTCGACGGCCTCAAGGTCCTTGCCATCATGCGTAAGAAGGAGCCAATTGTTCCAAAGAGCAGACCTCTCCATGGGGCTGACGAAACAGGCGCGCACTTTGATGTCTTCGATGAGGTCTTCGGGGAGTTGGGTGTCCGGGGGAATGCGCTGCTGCACATCACTGCCTTCCTCAGTGAAGAAAGCGAAGTCTCGCAGTTGACGCTCCAGTTCCGCGTGGATGTACTTGCTGCCGAGTTGAGCTGATTGCCACGTGTTCAGCATTGTATAGCCTTCATAGACCTACACCCGCAAATGCATCAGAGAGCAGTCAAGACAAGAGGCACAAAGTGATTCAGAACACGTCAAAACGTCAGCTGAGACACCTGCTACCGAAAATAATCCACAATTTTCAAACAGCTGCAATCCGAGGCAGTTGAAATATAAAGGAGAATAGGACGAGGTTTTTGAGCAGGAAATATCAAATTACCGGGAGAACCACAGCATCGGAATAACCGCAATCGATAACAAGAGCAGTTGAGATGCCGAGAGTGAAAAGCGCAGCAAGGTGGGAAGGAGCGAACAGAATAGACGGCACCTCAAAATGCATAAACAGAACCTCTGCGATAGATTGTTTGAAATGCGTTGGTGTCATTAACGATTCCACTATTACTACGCGGCGCTCTTTTGCGTTTACAATTAAATTTCTACAAGTTAAAATGACGTGGAAAAGTCGTACTTGTAACACATGCGATGAAACAGTTCTTTAAGAGTCTCAAATAGATTGGTCTTAACCAAATCGATATTCGCAAAAGGGGAGGAAAGAATGAACCTTGGGCTGGGTTCTCCAGCGAAACCGCACCTAAAACGTAAACTAGTTCAGACAATTAAAAACTCACTTTATGTAAGTTCTACCAAGGTCAAATATTATTGCTGTCTTCTCTCCTATTATTGAGTCATACATGGGCATTTCCAAAATTTTCCTACAATGACGTGGAAAGCATAGATGAAGAGAAAGCAATGCATCTTATATCCTAAATGTTTTGCAAATAGAAAACCGTACACATGTGAAAATTACAGAAACCTACAAAGTAAGAAAACCAGCACAATACAAAGCACCCCAGAGTGATTACAAATTCCTGGTCATCAAGTAATGTTTCTACTGAAAAAAACCTCTTATAAACATAATAATAGCATAGACACATTGTTATTCCATTCTATTTAAGTTTCCATCTTCATTACAACCTATCCGACAAGCGAAATAAGACATAATGTCAACAACAGCACTGTGAAAATAACACCCTGCAAGGGATGCAGCAAAACATTTCAACAGACAGAATACAAGTGGGGGAAATTGGAAAACTGATCATATCTTTGATGAGTACAATGAGATCAAAATATGTAGAAAATTTGCTCAACCCTTAATTCGAAGAGGTGCAAACGCATAAAAAATTAACTGCAAATCACAGTCTCCAAAATCCCAATCCTGCCGTCAGCTACCAAGAATTACTAACAAGAAAAACTCCAATGAGATAATTCCACATGTACATTTTAGGACATTGGCTGCCCTGACACTGCGAAAGGGTAACATTTTGGCGGCTTAATGATGTTACCCAAGGCATCAATTAAAAAACAATTTAACATGAAAGCAGCAGTGAGAGTTCTTTGATAAATGCGCAAACATTTAATAACTTTAGTCAGAGAGAATTTCGGCAGCTGGATAGAATAACCACCATACCACTTTAAACAATATTTTGTAATTCTAAATGTGTATAATTACGGATTTATAAATCAAAACAGCATATAAATTCCAGATTGAGGGTTGTATATACGACCAGAATGTGCAGCAGAACGGGAACCCAAAAACAACACAGATGTAACAAACACGCTCTTTATGAAAGGCGCTTGTGAATCCACACATTTAAACGTTGAACACTTTTTTGAGAGTTAACGGATAAGAGCAATCTAAGCACATGTAATGCATCATATTATAATTCTGACAAAAATTTTCACGAAACACATTTGGCCAGGACAAATCAGAAAAGACTACTTCCAAGTAGCTCAATTTTGATCTATTCATAAATATATTAATACCTAAATCATTTAATCCCATTGGTTAAAGTGTACCTATATAGTAGAAAGGCACGAGAATGTAGCAGCGAATGTTTGACAATTCTAGATTTTGACAAGTCGACCAAGGCTGTCATAAAATACCTATCTTCGTACACGGGCCGGTGTATTCTAAAGTGCATAATTAAAGGCTTCCCACTTCTGATTTGGTTACCTTCTGTTTTACTTTCTACACAGTAATAAAAGCTTCAAGGTATTAAATAGATCAGCCACATCAACGTATGTCCTTAAAATTCTACTGCAAATAATTGTTGTGAGATCCAATTTTGGCTAGAGCCTTGACTGACAGGTCTTTATACGACTCACCACGCCAATTGACCAATTGACGAACATACACCGAGTTGATGTCCTGTCCCATTTAAGTAGCCAGTAAACACTTTTCAGAGGCGACTAAGCATCAGAACAAACACCGAATGGTCGTAATCAAATAAATTTCCACCAAAATCAATACTATTAGGCAAACTAAGCAGCGTCATATTACGGGCGTGTCACTGCACAATTATATACAGGCCTGTACAGAGGATAGGGATCAATAATTATAAATGGCAAAGGTCTAAATCGTTGGTATCACAATGACCGACGCGAGGATCTCCTACCACCTCCTACGCCACCCGACGAAGCCGTCAGCAATCTAGTAGACGGTCGATTGCCCACCGCCGTCAGACGGGCACGCTTCACAGCTAACCGCGAGAGAGCACCGCCTGCCGCAGCGTTGTTCGACTTCTTCTGCATCTGCAAGGAATACGACGTTGAACCCGTCGATGAGGAGGAGGTAGACAACGCGGACGAGGACGACCAGGCAGTCTTTTGCGGCGTACTGGAGGCCAATTTTCGCTTTCGTAACTGTCTGCCGGCAGCCGACACGGAAGAGGTAATTTCCCCAGTGCCTCCAGTGGCATCAACAACCAGCCCATGGAGCAATCCGTGGATCATTAGCTCGGTCAGAAATGTGCGAATGAAGGGATCGTAGTTGTGAATACGCCGAGCGGAGTCCACGCGGTAGGCATAACGCTTTGACTCCTCCTCCGCTAGTGCCGCCGAACATGCTCGCGCCTGAGCATCAATGCCCTCCAGAAGTTGGGTGAGGTTTTCAGTTGTAAGGAAGGCAGTTGTCGTGGCTGGCATCTCATTCTCGGGTTTTTCAGGATGAACCGGGGGATGGAGCTGCAGAGCAGCTGATCGGGTACTTGCAAGCGAGTGAGAAGCAAGGGTGTCACGTTTTGTGGACGATCTCGTAGGGTACTTTGAGTGTCTCAGTTCCTTTTCCGGAGTTGATGCAGGACTAGACTGAGTTGGTGTGGAGGATTCTCTGCTAGCGCGGCGACGAGTCGTCACGCCAATTTGTAGTGAAGGTGTCGGTTGTTTTGTGGACAGTGAGTCACCATTCGCCTCGACATTTGACTAAAACAGAAGTGATTAATAAGTAGCACTAGTGCGACACCATCATTAGTTCACTTGAGACGACCTACAAGTTCCGTGGAAGTCGCAGAAGCCTCGGAGTTCTCGTCCACGAGAGCGTTGTTGTTGGCGGTGGAAGAAGAGGCTGAGAGTTCACTCTCAGTGAGATCGATACAGATTGAAGTGGGCGAGGAGACAGTGCTTCCATTGGAGCGAGTGGTCTGCTTCCGTGAAGAGCGTTTCACCAAGTGCGGTGGCAGTTTCGACATGGCTGCAGCAGCTCGACTGGCAGCCCGAGTTACCGGACGTCCTCCGTCCTCTCCTACGTCCCCCAACTCCCCTTCAACATCGATTGTCCAGCTATCGTCTTCGACTTTCATTTCACCATTCAACTTCTCCCTGAAATGACAAATAGCACTAAAATTTATGTCACCATTATGCAACTATAAGAGGTATCACCGATTAGTTTGTGAATACTTACTCAGGTTTGACTTCCACGGAGTAGTTCTCGGTGGTTAGGAGATGGCACTGGACGTCTGGGGCCCTGGTAACGTCAGCTGATGTCTTCTCCTTATTCGCCGACCCGTGTCCTTCCTCACCACCAACAGTACCTCCTCTTCCTTCCGATTTTCCATTGTGCTCTAGTTTGATAGCGACGGCGGTGGCGTTGCTGTTGGTCAGCTGTTGAATTGTCTTCTCGAGAATGGAGCGATTCTTCTCCAGATTGTCTAGCCGAGAGGCCAATGCGAGTCGACGATCCGGCACAACAGCCATCAAATTGTAGCGCACTTCTTGCTGCGGTAACAGGGAAGACGGTTTACGCACAGAAACGACCCTCATCTGAGTCGAGCAGCTTTACAATTATGCAGAAGCGGCTTTAATAGCGATTTACATTTAACATCTGAACAGATTGGGTAGTTAAATTTACACAAAACGCAACTGGAGGTCAAGATTTTCACAGGAGTCCAAGTTGAGGCATATAGCTACATAATAGTGTATACCTACATTACTTTCACAAGCTCAACCACTATTTTTTTATTACCTAAGGTAACTAATTAACAGCTTAGTAGACTATTGAATACATTCATTCATATGTGAATGAATTCATACTACCCAATAAGAGGTGCACTTACTTCCCTCATTCGCTGGCGCAGCAGCGACAGGCACTGTCGTGTCCAACCGGCGTGAGTCACAGGGTCCTCGAGAAGTCCGTGGTTGATTGGTTTCTGTTTCAAGCCGTCCAGTTCGTAGAGAAAGCGCCCCACAGGCAGGAAGCAGATAAAGTGGAAGGTGTAGCCATGGTCTACAGCACTGGTCGTCGAGTTGTCGAGTGAGGTGGACGCCGCGGCGGTGGCGGAGGCGGCAGTGGAGGTGGTGGCGGCAGCGACGATGGAGTCGCCCTCTTCACTCGCGGCTTTCTTCGCTGCCTCCACGGCACGTCGCACAACTTCGACAGACGCAGCCTCGTCACAGGCTGGCGGGAGATTTGGGGTGACACGCGGATTTTGCTGTCGTGCGTGTCGGTTATGCGCTTCCATTAGGGGCGGCATAAAGCCGATCGCGAGTCCCTTGACGTTCGGCGAGAGGGGACGTGTTGCCCGTCGAAACTCCGTCAGCAGAGGACCGAGATTGACAGCCTGGTGGGAGGTGTTCATAAGGATCGATAAAAGGGAGTGGGTGGCGCAGGAGTTGGGTACGACTTGGTGGGCAAAAAAGAGGTTCTCCTCGCAATCGCCTCCGCCATCTTTAAGTGCGCTTGAAACGGACTCGGAGACTGGCTGGTCACCATAGTTAGAACCGCGGATTTTGCCCGGTGAAGTGTTGGCAGCACTAGCGACAGGTGGAACCGTGAAAGACGTGTCGCCAGCTGTGGAGGAGGCCTGAGACGAGTTCAGGGAGCCGGTTCCTCCTCGAGAACCTCGCCGGCCGCTCTGGCGAATGAACGACAAATGATAACATCACTGTTAGAGATCTGGGACAGACAATTAGGCACATGCTCCGGAGATGTTGGGAGGTCAGATCCGTGGAGTTAGCGAGTTACCTCACCCACAAAAGTTAATGCACGCAAGTGTTCAAATAGCAAATGTCGAGCGCTGTACCATCACTACCTCCGGTTACATTTAGGCGGCAAATAAACCTAGGTGTCTAAAGTGCCTTGATTTTGTGCACGTGGAGGGTCACACACGACTCCCCGCCTACCCCCGCAGTTCTCGTCTTCGGGCGTATGACCTGACCTTGAATTGGTACACAGGAGAAGACCACTTTTCGTCACAAATGACTCATCAGTCTCCACTGCAATGGGCATCGTCGGGCGTTTAACATGACTGTCTGACTGACTGATTTTATCTACATTTAGAATGCTCGAGCATTTGACCCCTAAAAGATGGCAGAGGCTTCAAATTGTTAGTTTGACTGTCTAAGACACACGACGAAAAACACACCAAACCAATGACCGCGTTTGATTGGTCAGCACTGACCAACCACAAGGAGCCTTAACCTCGTTTGCACAATTCAACTAAAAGCACGTTTTTAGTGTCTGTCGCTGTTTCTACAAAAGACCTTATTTGTAAAGAGGACATAGCAAACTCACAACGGGTTAACCCACGCATGTTATTTGACTGGCCTAAGAACACCGTCAAGTGAGACTAGATTACTAGGATAATCAAAAACATGTTAAACAAATGACATTAGACCAACTCTCGATGCACGGCCAGAGGCACACGTCCGAGTTGGCAACAGCAGTTGCGTCCCAACGCGACGGCTACAAACGGACACTATTTTCAATCTGGGTTTCCCGTGTGGCAGGTTTCAACAGGAGCGCGCTTGTGTCTGCCACCCATCAAAACAAAATGCCATTTCTTTTCTAATGACACGTAATCTAATGAATCAACCCCTCTAGCCGAAAGCGACCCCACCAGGAATAAAAGATAAGAAAGTGGCGTTGTTCTGATCCCACCAAATATACGCGGACTCAAAATCACTAGGATCGATTGTGGGGGGGAAAAGCCATCGATTAGGCGGAATACTTTTGAACACCCTCTTCTAAGGAAAATTGCATGATAACTGAGAAAGAGGTTTCTCTTTTTTTAAACTGTGGAACTTTTGAATGCTGCTTATTAAGAAAATTTCAAGCAAACACGCAAACACACACTCAAGGTCTTAGACGCATAAACAAATCAAACGAAGTACAAGGGATGCAAAGGTATACAAAAGAGGACTTAGTTACAACCAACAGCGTAATCGCACACGGCCACAGGGCAGAGGGACTGTCGGTAGTCGTAAAAATAGCGGCAGTTTATTCGCTTAGAGGTAATAATAACAACCGGAGGTGAAAAAGTACCGGAGCAGGGGGGATGCGTGCACGCCTCGGGCAAGCCCAGGCAATCGAGTTAGGCAAAAGGCAGCGAACACATGCGCTACTTTCGAGAGCCTAGCAACGGTATCATGTAACATGACGTTGTGCTACACATGTTGAGGTTACTTGTGAGGTCATTCTGGTGGTAGATTTGATCGACATTTAGCGCATGACAGGCACGACAGTAATCGAGGACGTCTTTTAACAAAAGTGCACGTGTTCAATGACAACACACTGTACACGCAAACCGCGAAACTGTAAATTTGTGGTCGATTTCAATGCGGAATGCAAGAAACGACTTTCGAAGATTGTGGTGTTGGATTTTTAACAGGACGCTCCTGCAATAAGTGGTTTTGAAAAAAAAATAGAAGAAGGAAATGCTAGGTGTTGGCTTAGAATCTAAAGTCACAGTTAGAAAGCAATGATTAGCAGTTTGGATGAGATCAATGACATTTAAATGCGATTACGGAATGCTCTGAAACGGGGTTTCCTAATTCGTTTTCGGCGCGTACACCCATTCAATTTGCATTAAATCGAGTCTACGGCACGCGTTTGCAAATAGGGCACAAACTAACGCACCAAGACGAATGTTTCTCGCAAATAAAAGTGATTTGGTGGAACCAACTGTGCGGAACAATGTTACATAAAACTAATAGCAAATCATGGAAACTGTTTTGTTAACAAAAGCTCAATTCTGGCGCGTGGAGAAGAACTAGTGAGTAAAGAGAGTAATTTTAGACGTTTTAAAAATCAATGCAGTATCACATCCACTAAAATATCTTTTCAATGTTGTCTACGGAGTTGTGCAAGCAAAAATTGACCAAACTGACAAGAAGACTAAACTAAATGCTCAAATATGCTGAATTTAAAAAGAAAAAAAAATAAGTAGATCTCTAGCTTATTGGGATTTACGAGCATCAAATTTTAACTGGCAATAAAACAAGCCGCACAAGTTTCGTTGAAATAGGAAAGGTGGGTGCCAAGTCCATAATCATAAAACGAGCTGAGTTGTCAGAAAACTATGAGCATACTTTCGGCGTGGGATGCAAATGACAAAGCAACCGGGTATTCGTAAAAACACCATGATCTAATGACAGCAGGTTAAGGCGGCATAGAGAGAGAGAGTGGTGAAAAGGCTTCACCTTTTTTTCATTTTGCTGCCATCGAAAGAGGAAGATGAAACCGAGAACGGGGTCAGAAGGGGCCTTAGTGAGCTCGTAGATTTCGTCAACCTGAACACCCGTCACGCCCAAATCCTCAACAAGAAGGGTGAACAGGCCCGGGTCGCTTTCCAATTCAAGCCATTCCTCTTGACCCATGCCCAGCTGCTTACATAACACGGTCAACTGCTAGGAGGAAATGGCGACGGTAATGATTAGGACCCCCGATCTATAAATGAAGCGAATATCAAGTTAATAAAAGTATGTCCCAACTACTAAAGTGCGTAAACAAGCCACATTTCGACAGCAACTACGTAGAAATAACTAATTAAACATCTATTGGGTAAAAAACCCACGTTACTTATCAATTAGGGATAAAACATTTAAAACATGAAATACATTCAAACGCTATGAAAAATGCGTGAAGAATCAAATGAGCGCAACGATTGTTCAGGAAGCCTGTCTTCTAAAGGAAAACGTTCTAAAACGTTATAGGCAAGTACATCGAAGTAATAATAACTCAAGGAAACAGAGACCCAGACCAAAATCTAACGCAAATCCTAAAAAATTTCTTTAAAACCCTTTAACAAGAAATCGAGGAATTGAGAACGAAAAGTTTAATAATAAAAGTGATTCGGTATTTACATAAAAATTTGTTGTAAAATATTGATTTAGCATATGAGTTAAACATCAGGACGATATAAGCTCGGCTGAAACAATATAAATCTGTCAAATATATTTAAAGAACCATTTCACAATAAAAAAATTACCACTTTTTTAACAAAAAATCGGATCCTGCAGAACATCTTTCTCGGTACATAAGCCAAGTTTTTATCAACAGGTCTTTTGATAAAAACTTGGGTTCATGACCACAAGTCAACTCTTAACCCACCAAGTAATGCGGACTATATTTAAAAAAATGAGAAAGTGTATGTAAAATGTGTTGAAATAGTAATTAGAAACGGCTAAACAATTTGTTAAATACTTCGGTACAAATTGACTGGAAAAGAAAACTTTTTATAACCCACAACGCATTTTCGTACAAGAACCTACAAAGTCACATTGTTCACCACCAAAACACATGATTTATTTGTGAGTACACTGGACAGCGCAATAACAAGAGGCATTTTGATACTTATTGAAATTAATGCACCAGAATTAGGGTGGCCAATTTTCACGATAGTGAAAGTTCACTTAAAGTGAATTTATACACTATTTTGATTGCGAACGTAAATAATGTATGTCAACCAGATACCATACCTAGCAGATGGGATAAAGACAACACCGAAAACAAGTCCAAATAGTTGGAATTGCGTTGTTTTTGAAAAGTCTGGGATGTAAATTGTCCACATAAACACCATGACTAGCATTCAATGGATTTCTTTACACTGGAAGACGTATTTTAATAAATAACAAATAAGCAGACTACTACGAATAAAATAATGGTTTCATAATCGTGAATTGATTGGATCACTTAGTCCAAATTTGATTGATTTTCTAAATCACAGGTTTGCAAATGTGTGCCGGCACTCTTTTGCTTTACACCAAATTTACAATTATTCGGACTAGTAAAGGATACAATAAAAGTATATGGAATGAGACATGAGTAAACTTTTGAATTAATTATTCATTCAGTAGGTGTTTTCATTTAATTAAGTGCGAACGCGAAGTAGACATTTGGAAAGATATGAAGGCTGACAGTGA